GTGACTCACTCACAGGAAGTGGCTCAGATCTGCGGTTAGTTCATATGAAATCATTCTGACTGAACTCAGCGTGACACACGCCACCTTCATACAGTGTTCACAGGAAGTGCGGACTTGTCTCCGCCTGCCTCTGAGGCGCGTTTGTGATTTCATGCTAAAGAAAAACTAAAAGTGGCCCTGACACTCATCACGTCTCACACACAGATAAATGTGTTTAATGAGCTGTAATTTTCCGTGGCGCCGTCTGCATCCCCTCAGCCTGCAGGTCAAAGCCGGGCGCCTCACCGTGATCAGGTCTCCGGCCCGGATGTTGAGGGCGGTGGGGTCGTGGAGGTTCCAGTAATCCTTCAGAGCTCTGACCTGCAAAACGCCCGTCGCGTCTGAAGAGGAAACAAACAGGAAGTAGGTGAGAACAAAAACAACAGGTTCATTTTTAGTCTTTAAAGTGACGACTTGTGTTATTTCACAGCTAATAAACATCCAAACATGTATAAGCAGAACTTTAAGGCACTAATTATTAAAACTAAAAATCTTATTTACAAAAAGAAACGAATGCAAAATGAGCTTATTTTAGCCAAGTTAGCTAATGTCAGCGCTAAAACGACCTCAGCTGTGCTGCTAGCTTCAGTCGAGGTGTTTGCTATCAAACATTAAGCATCTTTTTATCCCAAACAGCTTCACACACAAACGCTGATTCATTTTCTCCTGATTACAAACGTGGAAATGACTCATTAGCTTATAGAACATGTCAGGATATAACAGTGTAAATATCCACATTATTTATCACTCGCTGTTTCACAGGAAGTCTGAGTGAAGAAGTCGCATCTTTAGTTTTTGGTGAAATTCAGTTTCAGTTCGGATTTAATCATTTTACTTTTGTTTGGCCGTGAAACGCTCAGAGTTTTTTGATGTAGCGTGTTTGCACTGTGAGACACAACAAGAACACGGACGCTTCTGCAGCCCGACTGTGGCGACAAACACCGTAAACTGAGAAGGAACCAACACATCTCACGTGATGTTCGCCGGCGCCGTACCTTCTTCGGCTAAAATGTTGCCGAGTCTCAGTTTGAGTTCAGTGAAATAAACGGAGTGTAAAAAAACGCGTCCCCGTTAGGAAGTCTAATAACAGCAGGCCTGAAATTTTAATGCGGAGGAAACTTCCACGTTGTGACTTTCAGCACTTCCACAAAGACGAGAGAGGAGGACAGCGCACGGAGAATAACAAGCAAACGTTTTCTAAAGAAGCTGAAACACATTCGACTCTGCACCACACACGAGCGCTGCTGACGCAGGCGCCAACAGCTCACATCAATAATTCATCTGCGGCGCGTGCCGGCCGAGCGCAGCAGCAAACGAGACGGGAAAGTCTCCGTCCGAGTTTCAATCACGGCTTCAACACGACCGCTCGTTATTCCCTCAGTCTGTTCCCACAGGAGCTTCAAACGCTGCAGGTTTACGGAGCGCGCTCACGCGCCGCATGTACGGCGCCGCTAACTTTGATGCTGCATCTGCTCTTTGAAGCCATGAGAACGACAGATAAGAGTTTAACGTTATGTAACTGCAGATTTATACGCAGCCGCTGTGGTCATGTGGTCGTACGTCT